TCTTTGTCGATATCGTATATTCGTTGAAAGAAATGAAAAAATTGAGTAAATCAAAAACGAAAAGTAATTGGAATGAAGTTGAAAAGTCATAATTTCAAAAACCGACTCGTTTATATTATAATATATTATCTTCTATATACRTTTTATTTATTTATATGATAAATTCTTGCAGGATCGCACCAGAAGAACCACCGGAACAAGAACCGGTGCAGTGTAATGTGGACGAAGAAGAGTGTTCCGGAACGCCCGACTACTTCGACGAGGAAATTACCACGGTCGCAGGACCAATAGGCGCTCTGGTGGCCACTGCAGCGGCCACTGCCTCGACGACGACCACGACGACGACTTCAACCACCACGACGACAACGCCACGGACGACCACGACAAACTCGGCCACGAGCAGCAAGCGTCCATCGCAGCCGATAGCGATGACGAGCACGCCAAAACCGACGCAACAGCCGGCCGTCTCGTATCCGACAAACTCGCCGGAAACGATAGCGGCTCTGATAGCGTTGCACAATGCGTTCCAGGAAAGTCTCAAGGAACGAGAACATGGGCCAGGGCCCAAGGGGCAGCAGACCCACCACAGGTACCATCCACCACCTCCACCTCCACCTCAACAGCAGCAGCCTAAACCGTTTACGGTATCCAATTTCCAACCACCACGGCACTTCCCGTCCAAGGCACCACAGCAGTATCTGCAACAGCAGCAACTGCAACAGCAACAGCAGCAACAGCATCAGCAGCATCATCTGCAACATCAACAACAACCACCGCCACCGCCGTACCGACATCAGCAGCAGCATTTGCAACAGTCTCAACAACAGCAGCAGCGTCCGATTTTGTTGTCGTCCGAGCGRTTCGGAAACCAAAACTTCCGGCACGGCTTCCAGTTGCAAAACGGACCGCCTCCGCCCGTGGACGAATCGCCACCTCCGTCGTCGTACCAACAGCAACAGTACAACGGAGACGGTGCACAGTACGACGGTAACTACGACGAAACGGTCGCGGTCGTCGGACTTGGCGAAGAAGAGGACGTGGACGACGAAGAGTCTCGGCGGAACTTTGCTCGCGAAGCTCCTGAATCTTCGGTCTCGGTTTCAGTGCAAGTAAGCTCGTCGTCGACTAAAAACAGTGCCATCAACCACCAGCCACAGCAACAGCAGCGGCCGACGCAGGTGGCTGTCGTCGCCGCAGAATCCGCGACGCCGACCACGACGACGACGACGACGACGGCCACGGCCCCGGCGGCCACGGCGGCCGATCGCCCGTTCACGGACAAGCCGTCACTGCCGCAGCCTCCTCCAGCGGACGACACCGACCCGAACGGCGGAGATCTGTACGAGGACGAGTACGAAGAGTTGGAAAGCGACGAAGAGTTCTTCAAGGACGTGTCAAAAGTCGGTCGGGACAGAAGACGGAGACACGCAAAGGGCGGCGCCGGACGAGCGTAACGATATGATTATTATGATAGTAATAATTATTATCGTTATCGTTTCCAACCGTATACGTCGCGGCAACGGTCCGCAAAAGCCACCGTGAGACGATCGAACGCAGTTCAAAATGTTTTTGCTCAATAGTTTTGCGTCTGTTGTTATGATCACGACTATATGTTATATATTATGTATACGCGAATACGGCCATTTTTTTTTCTCTTCTCGTCGTCGTTCGTATATTCTTTTACGTCGACGTTCCTGAATCCTATATATTGCTCCTTCTCATCTCTCTCTCCCTGCCACCCTCAAATCCTACTCCAYTTTGTCCTACCCGCGAGTAAGGAAATATACGTAAACGTTATTTTTTTTTATTTTTTTTACTTACTTATTTCATGTATAACTTAGACGATTTTTTTACAAAATATATATATGCTAATAATAACGATTATAGAATTATTATTTTTGCAATCACTCTGTTGGTAATAATGCAAAATAATATGTCCCTTGCTACTCCTWTATAACTGTCGTGTGTAATCAGGACTCGGGACTATGAGCACTTGCGTATATCCGTGTGGCACACTGGCACCCTATACTGGTGCAYCAGTTTCGGATATGCACCATCATTTAAAAATTCTGCGGTATCATAATATAAGCTACCTATATGCTTTTTTTTCACGGTTACGTTTTTGATGGAATATTTTTCTGGACACAATGTGTTATCGAACCGGTAGTGTGAATTATTTATCACGATTTGAATGGATTTATCAAAATATTTACCTAAATGTTTAGATTTAAAAAAAAATTAAATATGACGTAAATCTTACAWTTCTGTACGTATTAAGTGATATTTTAATTATTATTGAGCGCTCAAGTCCCGACCCATGATTATACACTATTATGATATCACGCAGTTCACGTCTGTCGTGAGCGGTCTTTTTTCTCTTTTTTTTATTAGAGAGGAATGATTTAATTTTGTACACCATTATAGAAATAATTATAATATTATAAATGATGTATTGTACGATTGAAATACATATAGAGACCTTTTACACGCAACTGGTACGGATATTAAAACAAATAAACTATTTGTATAAAATATAGGTAGGCATAATATTTTTCCGAGTTAACCATGCAAATATAATATTTAGGAATGTTACACACGTCGTACGCATATAATAATATAGTATTATATTGTAATTTTCTTACGCTTGAAAACATAACAATATCATAATTATTATAATATATATGTTATCGATGATTATTAATTTTGTGTTTTTCCTCACATATGATGGGTAATCTAGACTG